GTATTTTTTTTAAGTACTTACCAGTTTTAAAGTCTGCCATCTCAATCTTAAGCAGAAAGTATTCGCAATATACTTAAAGCGCCAAAAGTTAATAAGTGTGGAAATCGGCATTCTTGTTTTTTTATATTGAATAAATCTGAATCAAATGCAAATAATAATACTAAGTTTTTCTGGTGATCTGGGCGCCTCATGTACCAAGCTGAGTCCTTACTGCAGCGGGCCGTGGGCTCTAACACCAAGAAGTAGTACTAAAATTATCAAATAATGTGGATGAAAGTCTACAACAACAACAACAACAACAAACACAAACAACAACCTGCATCCCCTAATTCGTCAGGTACCGAAAAGACTGGTGATAAAGGAACACCTGATGATTTTTCACGATTTTTTTTTTTTTTTTTTATCATAATGAGCTACAGACAAATTATGAGCCAAATACAATTGATCTTGTCATTCGTCGAAAAAACTTAGAGGTGCTTTCTTATAAGAACAAGTAACTGGTGTTGTCGATGTATATTCAAATCTTAAATAAAAAAGAATATAAACATCTTGACCAAAAAGAGGTCCTTTCTTTACAGAACACTGTTAAACACTGTTTTTGTGTCTTTGTGCAACTGAAGTAGTTACTTCACGTTAATAATAAAGAATAACGGATTTTTAAAAAACAATCCCACATAAAATATAACATCAAAACATAAAATCTCTTCAATATGAGACTGGTTTGTGTAATTTCTGGGGGCAATTTTTCGCTCAGGAGGTGGGTTAACGTTGTGAGTAAAGTGAAACAGATCAGCTGAAGGGCTGTTAGCCTGTGGCTCTGCCCAGAGTCCAGGGTACTGGGCTGCCCCTCGTGGCGCTGTGCCTTGAGGTAGGACAGGAGATACGGAGCCAGCCGTCACACCACATATTGCTCAAGGACTGCAGGAGGAATTGTACTCTTTGCTAAGGGTGAGAATAATCTGCAATTAGCCCACTTCACTATGACTGGGAGGTCATAAACAGTGTTTCGCCTGTTTGTTGTTTCTCATAAATCATGTTATTATTATATTATTGTAGAACTGAATGAGAAGTATCTTATTTTATCTTTTCTATCAAAGTATTTTATTCTATTGTTGTA